TAATACAAATCGTTTTTCTGCGAAATCCAGAAGTCTTTTCAAGAAATTTTATATGTAAATGAAGCAAATTTGCTTAAAAACAGTCTATATTGACTTTGAAAATTTGAAAGCTTTGGCTTAAAAAAAAATGTTCGAGTATCCTTCATCTAATATTTTACAATCGAAAAATGTTCATAGCTGATTAGAACGAGAAAAAAAAACATATTTTTTAGATTCCCACAGAAAAAAAAACTTCGTTTTCTGACATTCGAAATGAAATAAATGATCTACACAAAATATATGTGTACATCTTTTTACTAAGAGCTCTTGCAAGCTTTCACGCACCAGTACTGTCCATGGAAGATAACAGCTATATATAATAATCAAAAAGTAATCCAAATTAATCAATTTCTTGAAAATCATAATGTGTGATCAATGATTTTCTATAAATAATATTCAATTTAATTAAAATAAAAATCGTCGGTCTTTTATTAAAATGATGCATTTATCACTTATTATTGTACTACTTTTTAATCAAAATTCATGATGATTATTTGGTTATTTTTACATGATTTGGAAGAATTTAATAGTCTTTAAGCAAATTATTATCTCTTTCATTTTAGCAAGATCTTGCAAACATACTATAGTCAAACAAAGCAAGCGATTTAAGGATACTTTCGAAAATTTACTATTTTATGAAAAGGGAACAAGATAAAATGAAATTAAATCTATTACCTCACCAAAATATTACTTATAGTACGTGTGTAAATAGATTTTCATGTGAATGAAAAAGTTCTAAGTTTTCATTCATAACAATTAACAAAGAATATTTAAAGTTGCCACTATTTTACTTTAATACAAATACATAGCATTTTTCTATGGTTCAGAAATATTTTTCAGTCCCAGATGATCGGAGAAACATGAATGATAAGATGAGTCACTTTTTTCAGAATTACTGGGTACAACATTACAATTTTTATTCTACTATCTATTCTGACAAGTTCATAGTTTTATATTGAAATTTTCCCGAGAAACCTCAGTAACCATGAGCTATGCTGTTAACAATAATTATAATCTTATAAAAATCAGGAGTAATCGATACAAGTCTAAGACAACTATTTAACTAAACTCATTATTAGACTCCATTAATAGTCTATTGACTTTCCTTTCGAAAAATTATATGTTTGAGAACAAAATAAACGATTTGAATATGTAAAACAATCTTTACCTTTTGTGGAATGCTTGCAGTCATCATTTGGCTCAAATTTATAAATAATTTATGCACATCGACGATGATTGTTGCATGATTAGCAGCGATGTTCAATGCAGAACGTTTAATTCTACTTTGTTGATCAGAGTAATCAAAGTTATTTTGGAAAATTGGTATCGAATAGAGTTGAAATCCCGGGTAATGTCCGTCGTACTCAGAGTCACATTTAACGAACCAATGTTTGAGCTCGAGCCAGAATGGTGTTCGAAATGGTGAAATCAGTGACTCTACAGTAGTATAATCTTCATCATCGGATGCATAACAAGTAAACCAGAATTCGAACTTTTTCAATAGAGGCAATTTCATTGAAATGAAATTTTCCCATCGAGAACCGTCAAATAATAGAGGATCAGAGAAACGTATCTCACCGATCAAACGAAGATGTGTTAGTTTCGGTAAAAGTAAAAGAAGTGACTCAATATTGTTCATTGTTATATTAGAACTGAGATTTAACGAAAGCGAAGTTAACTGACTTGATGGTGTGATATCAGAATGTGTAACGGTAGTCTCATCGAATAAATCCCTATAAACATATTTTAAAACTAATGTTCTTAGATGAGATAAGTGACCAAGAATAGAATAAATTGTGTTCCAACTGCACTCATAACAAATTGTCACGTATTTCAATCCAGATGAAATGGGCCATTGTATTTCATTGAGAATATTACGTCTTCCTTCGACTTTCAATTTACGAAGAGCATTGTGAGATATAATAGATGATAATGAGGCTTTTATTTTGTTGATATCAGAGTAATCAGTTGATATTGAGAATGTTGTAAGAGGATATTTCATGATATTTTGTTCAAATTCATTCAAGTCTTCGTCTTTTACATTAAAGAGAGTCAATGAACGAAGTCGAACGAATTGGTCAATACGAAAGTGAGAAAGAAATAAACGAATTCGATTGGATGTCTCTCTTTCCTCCGAAAGCCTAAGTGAAATAACATTTTTAGGATCAATAATGCGTGCGATGATAGATAGATCAGATTTTGACATATAACGACAGTCCAGCTCATAACGATTATAAGTATTAGCAATGGAATAGAGTTGTTTGCACATACATCGAATTGAAAAGACAATTATCTCTGTATCAAGTTCATCGAAAATTCGATGAACAATATCGACTGGTAATTTTTGAAAATAAGATTTCTTTTTAGTAGACATAAGTCGTAATACGCAGAATGCACAAGTGTAATATGTTTTGTTTTTTTACCAGCTATTCGTCACAATTGCACATCCACATCGAGTGCGAACACCTAACCATGTGTCACATCCGACTGTATAGAATGAAAAAAAAAGTAAGTATCCACATATTTATCATCTATATATTGAGAGAGCAATACAATAATAAATCGTCAACTCACCTTGCCAATATTTCAAAATGAAAATGCAATAGCTTATGTTGGAAGTTATGATGGAAATTTTTCTTCAAGACACTAGATTCAAAATAAGTCTAATTGAAAGAACATTATACTTGATTTTACTAATTTAATTGATTTTGTAGAATATTATGCAAGCTTGTTCGTTTTTCTAGCAAGATTCATATGAAAAATGTAAAGTGAAATACTATTCTTGTCGATAGTATTTATTTCAAAAGAACTCGCAAATACAAGAACATCGAGATGAAAACACAATGACTTTTTCATTAAAACTCGGACAAACATGAGATGTGGGTGTTAGAAAGAACTATATTGACATCCAGATAATATCCACACACACACCCTTGATTCCTACAAATGATGAATCGAACGGTTTGAAAAGAAGAAGTTATAATAATAATTATAATTCATTTACGGCAGGCTAGGTCGGGTACCGTCCTATTATCGCACGAAAAAAAAACGTAATAATTACCATCATGGACAGTATCCCCTTTCCAAAATCATCGGACATTGTTCTACTAGCCATGATCTTTTGCTTTCACTTTTATGTAAATCTATTTGTTGATTCTGATATAGAAGAGAAAAATTGAAAGTCAGTCAGTGACATCTATTTATAATAAATACAATTCGATAAGTGTTAATCTTCTTATAGATTGGTTCATGTCAGCCGTAAGTTTCTTTACACATTCCAAATAGTTTCATTTATTCTTTATTGTTTTCACGTGAAGAATTTCAGTTACTTATCTAGATAATTTCTAATCAATATGCCTAAATATTATTGTGATTATTGCGATACATATTTAACACATGATTCACCATCTGTACGTAAAACTCATTGTCAAGGAAGAAAACATAAAGAAAATGTACGTGATTATTATCAAAAATGGATGGAAGAACAAGCTCAAAAATTGGTTTGTTTAATTTGAATTATTTTTGTTTGTTTTTTTTTCTATGTCAAGTTTTCTTAGATTGATCAAACAACAGCTGCTTTTAAATCGGGTAAAATGCCAAGTGGTCCATTTCCAATGCCGCCACGTCTTATCAATCCAAATATTGCACCACCACGACCAGGCATGCCAGCTATTGTACCACCACCACCATGGGCATTTACATTACCACCAGGCATGCGACCATTAGGTCCACCACCTAATCCAGCTGCAATGACAACATTAATGACATTACGACCACCACCGGGTATGTTGCCACCAGGTGTACCACCACCAACGGCTATTCCGAATCCATCTATGGAATAATAGTATGATTAACATTTGAGAGTGAATATTACTTTTTGTTTTCTATGTACATTTCATCATAACTATGTAAGAGTAATATAGAAAAAAAAAAAAAAAAAAAAAAAAAAGATTTTCTCTCATACGTCTATTGTTTTAATTTCTGAATTTCAAGACGTCTTTTTGTTCGTTATTGAATAGTACAATTTTTTAACTTCAACGTACTATCATTGATGTAAGGACTCTTAAGATGCATTAAAATAAAGGCAATGTATATACACATAAATGTTTCTTCACCATAGGATTATCTGAAAAGAGAAAACTTAAATTAGTTTGAATATTAGAAATATAACAATTATATTTTAAAGAAAAACAAAAGACCTGTTTTGCGAAGAAAGTATGACTGTAGCTATCAATTTCAGTTATTGATGATCTGTTAGAATAAGTTTATGCATACAATATATGTTTGTTTGTTCAGTCGTGTGTGGGTGAAATTTTTGTCCATGTTTATGTTCAGTTACGTAATCGGTCAATAACATTGGTTACAAATACACATTATTATATCTATCAACTGTTAGTGTCATATACCATCATATTTTTTAAATATTTAACACCGATTACTTTAGGCAAATTATTTATATCGTCTAAATAATTTTATAAACATACAAGATCCTACTCATTCTCAAGAGGGATATATGTATTTTAACTGAAACGTTTAGAATTAAATTAGTATTGTAACTTTTTTAATAAGTCCTAACACATTATTTTATTAGTCTCATAAAAATCTTCTTATAGGCAAAAACATCAGTTCAATCATGTTTGTTTTGTATCTTTTCTTCATTAGATAATATTTTCTTTTTTTTTAATGATTTTCGATTATTTCAGATAAAAAATAATCTCGAACAGGTAAAGTAAATGAAAAATTAATTGAATATTATTGCTTTTTTAGCATCAAAATAAATTGTAGAAAAATGAGCGAAACTGATGATATGGTATCAGTAGTGGATGATGGTGGGTTATTATAATGCTTATTAATGTCGTCTGTGCTATTCTAATAACTATTGCTTTTGTTTTGTTGTTTGTTTTTTTTTTTTTTGTTATAATTCAATATATTTTTAAAAAAATTATTTTCTAGACGAGTCAATGATTAAATATCTTCGTGAAAAAATTATTGGTCGTCCAGCAGTCTTTTCTCTAGCTGGCGATATACCAATAGATGAGTACGATTTTATATCTATTAGTTTTTTATGTTTACTTTTTTTTTCGTTTTACATTGATATGTATAGTCATACGCTTCCTATAAAAAAGACTAATTCACAAGATGGTTTAAATGATGTTGTATTATTAAGTACAACTTCAAATGATACAACAAATCAGGTATGTTTTTTTTTCTTTGACAAAGTTTTGTTCTTTTTTTTTTTCTTTATCTATGTAAAATAACTTTAAAAAATATCCGCTTCTTCTTATGCACAGAAATCACTTGAAATTAATGTCAGGTATCTGTAGGAAAGCAGCTATAATGTTTTTACCTCCCATTTTGCATGCTTATATTTATAGAAAAACTAATTATTTGTTATGAAAAAAAACAAAATTGATTAGCTCTTTTGAAAAGAAAAAAAAAATGTGACAGTTGAGACTCGCACCACCAGGTGTGTAACAACTTGTTTTATTTTTCGTTTCCTTTCCTCTATTGCTTTTTTCCTGTCATTTCACATACTGCTTCGCTTTTTCTTTTTTGTATTCGCTTGATTTGCTTGTCGCTGCTTTTGTTCTTTGCTGTCTTTCGTCATTATATTGTATCTGCATTTTTTCATCTTATCATTGACGTTATCCTCAACTAAAACGCCGAGCAACGCTTGTTCTGCATTTACATTTATTAAAAAGAATAAAATTCTAACTACAACAGAATAAAAAAAAAACGTACACACAGTTATGTCTCGTTCGAAATTAAGTCCATTGATAAAAGCACAGGTGAAAAGAAGCTTTTTGTTTAGTGTTTTTTTTTTCATTTGTAATTATTGAAAAATATAATTTTTATACTTTTCATAATAATAGGTAGAAAAATTTAATGCCATAAGTAATATTATTAATTCTGGACGTCGACCAATACCATCATCATCACCAATTATTATTCCAAAAAAACCTCCTCGTTCGAATGTAAGCATATATTATTTATATTACCTACTATTATAAACGAATGTGTGAAAGAGAACAATGTGATGGTTAATGTTCTTTGGCCTTTTTTTCTTCTTCTTTATTTTTATTGAATTAATGAATATTTATGTTTTGATTGTCAGGCATCATCACATAGTTCTTCATCGTATACATCGGTTGCTGATCAAATGTCTTCATTTTTTGTAAGACAACAAAAAAAAGAACAAATATAAATTTTGAATTTACTTTTTATTTTCTCTCTGTAGGAATCATTCGTACAAACAGATGATGGTAAAAAGCAAAATAAGAATTAAAAAAAAAAATTGAAAATTAATTTGAATTTTCTTTTGTTCTTATATTAGTACCAAATTCAACATTTCCAACATTACCATCAACATGTCAACAATTAGAACATTCCGCAGCACGAGATCGTATTTCAGTGAAAAATAAACGACGACATCCAATTAAACAAAAAGTAATATTATTCATTAACGAATGTCATTTTCAAAATAAAATACATCTGACTTTTTTTTTTGAAATAATATCGAAATCTGATGTTTGTCACTATTTAAGAGAAGAGAGAGCCTGAGACATCTATCTATGCCGAAATTTGATTGGTAAACAGCTGACCGATCTAATTTCAGCATATAGAGATACTCACTCTGAGGGCGAAAAACTCAGATTTCTATGTTATTCCTTTGAAGTCTCATTTATTTATTTTTTTTGTAGTTAAGTACACTTCGAGAAACTGATGATAATGAAAGTGATTTATTTTCATCAAAAACTGAAGGTAAAAAGAAAGCAAAAGAATTTTAACTCAATATTAACAGGTTAAGGTGTAATGGGAAAGGGAATTAATAAATTTGATTGAATAAAAAAAAACAAAAAAATTTGAGATATTTTGAGTATAGATGATGAAATTCCACCACCTTTACCGCCGAAACAGCGTTATTTACTCAAAAATTCATTTTCATTACCGACTACAACAAGAACAAATTCAACGACAAAAACAAAAATGAAAAAGTTAAATAGAAATTTACGTACATTTTCAATTCATTGACATAGAATTTTTTGTTTCTTAAATTTTTTTTTTTATCAATAAATTAACTTCAATATTTTCAGCTATATCATCAACACCAGAAGAGGAACATTCAATTATTGCTACAACACGTATAGAGGTAAATATTAGAAACTTTTCTCTACGAATAAGAAATTGTTTTGATTTTGAAAATGCAAAAAAAAAAACAAAAACAAAAGTCAGTCAGAAGAATATTTTCTTAACTATATCCATTGTAAGTACGAATTCTTAAGTCTTATTGAATATCTATATTTAGTAGTATGATTGAACAGTCAGAGCTAAACTATTTGCTTTATTCTTAGAAGCCATCGAATACATATTTGACAATAATAGTAAATTTTATTTATGAGAGACGTCCTTGAACTAATATGAATGGCTTTTTAAGATGAAACATTTTTCATTGTGTAGATTTTGAAATATCTTAAAAAGAGTACATGTCATATAGTTTTGAGAATCTAAAGATAATTTAATTTTCGAAATGCTAGAAGTGATGACGAAGGGGACGACACCCATTAAGATTCAGCCTCTTCTATTCAACTCGCAATGATATTCTTCACTTATTTTTATTTATCGAACATTTTATGGTGACTTCACTATCTAATCTCTATCATAATAAGCTACAATGAGTTTTTAAATAAATTCGTCTTATACAATATCCGAAACAAAAACATCCTGAATCCTTCGTTTTAAATTGTTGAATTCACACTTCGCCATCTTTAATTCTAACGTAGACATTAATTTTTCTTATACATTAGAAAGAATATTATAATTTCTTTAATATTATATTCTAGCCAAAAAGACAACAACCATTAATTGATCTATCTGATTTGGATACAGCACGAGCACGTCTTCGTATATCAGTTCGTTCACGTGATCGTTCAGCTGATAATATACTTTTGGCAACAAATTCTAATCTAAATAATGAAACATTAACAACAACATCATCAAATATTTCAACATTTTCTAATCCTATTCAACGTTCTGTAAGTTTTAAACGTGTTCAAGAAATTAATGATATAAAATTAATTAATCGATCAATATTAAAACAAAAAAAAGAAGAAAATAATGAAAATGTTTTATTAACTAATAAATCTATTGAAAATAATTCAATATTAATTAATAATTCAATACAAAATGAAAATATTAATGAACAAACAAATATTAATAATACTAATTCAATTAAATCAATATCACATTCATCATCACACGAACATATTTATGATAATTTAGATGTATTTAAACGTCCGAAACCAAATATTATTCTATCATCTAATGATGATGATGATGAATCATTATCAACAACAACAACAACAACAGCAGCTGTTGTTAAAACAAGAGAACATCCAATACAAACAACACGTTTAAGACCACTTACAATGCATGTTACATCAAATAATGATAAACAACTAACAAATGAATTTGAAAATGTTTTTAATCAATTAAAAAAACGTGGTTCAATTCGACGTGTTCGAACAAATGAAGAAACAATATCGGAATCTTTTCCATCTGCATCGAGTGAAGAAATTCATGTACCTCTATCTCCATCTATAAAATCTGAGAATGAATCATTTGTATCAACCAATAAAATAATCGAACCAATTCATACACCACCACCAACACCAAATCGACGTAAAACAGTTGTTGGTGTTCATCTATCAGCTAATAATAAAGTTGCTACTAATGATAATAAGCCAACACCATCATGGGTTGATATAGCAAAACAAAAACAAAATAAATTGTAAGTTATTTATTATTATTAGAGAGAGAGATATTCAAAACAATAATGTTTTCTTTTTTGAAAATGTTTTATCATAATTACGAAAGCATAGAAAAAACAAAACACAATAGATTATGTAAGCATGACGAGATCATATTTTCTTTGGAGAAAGAACAAAAAAAACTAATGTCAGCAAAAATGAAAATGAGTACAATAAAACCTCCCATAGTGGACACTCCGCAGTCCGACGGAGAGGATTTTGCTGGAACTAAACCTCTTTATAGTGGACATCATCCGATACTGAACATTTTTGAGAAGTCTCATTCAGTGTCAACTAAAGAGCCGTCCTGTATTCTAACAATTGTTGGTTTTTTTGTATTTCAAGAACAAAAGTGCATGAGGAGAGAAGTAACAATGAGCACTTGTTAGTTATCTTATTCACTAACATCCTTCAAATCCTTAGAAAACGCGTCCGCTTTTTCGAAAAACTTCACTTTTTGAAAAGACCAAACCTCCCTATAGTGGAGACTTTCAAAAAGTCCCATAGATGTCCACTATAAGAAAGTTTTACTGTAATATTAAACTTCATTTGTATCAGCAATGAACATATAAAACATGTAGGAACAACATCGTGCCCTGTTTTATTACGATGAAGATTCAAATTTTAATAATTATCAACATGTCATTAATTTGAATCCTACCAAAAGCGAAATTCCAACTACTAGAACCTGTTGAATTCAAAATTTTCGGTTTCGCGACTAATCTAACGTACTCTATCCAATTGCAATTACTAATCTTCATCTTTCATTTCTAATAAAAGATTTAAAACAAATGGTAACCTATTTATTTTTTAGTCAATTGGTTTCGAATGAAAAGAAACATCAAGATGAATTTGAACAACAATCATCTATTGAATCACCAGTTCCAATTAGAAAATCGATGCCATCTGCTGATACTCGATCGAATCGAAAATCAATGTTTGAACAAACTACAACACAAACAAATACACATCCTATTGAACGAGTAAATTTAATATTTATTTATTTATAAAAATTATTTTCATGATTTTGTTCTAGGATTCAATACGAGCATTAAAAGCTGGCAATCCGAATCGTATAAATAATTTAATACAATTTTTTGACAAATAAATTTTGCTTTTTTTTTCTCTTATCCTTTCTTATGTTTGTGTCTTCGTCTTGTAACAACAGTGTGCATGTATGTGTGTGTGTGTTTTTCTTGTACAAAGATAAATCTTTAATTGTTATGCAACGATAAATTCGTTTTTTTTTCTTCTTTATTAATATAAATCTATATTAAAGAAAGAAAAAAAAATAAATAAACAAAGATTTGGTTTTTTTTCTTTTTTTAGATCATGGATTTAACAGGAGGTTCTAGTCAAGGTATAGGTGATCCACATTTAGCATCATTTATTGAACAAGAAAATCAAAAACAACGTTTTCAATCTGTTGTACATTCTTTAACTGAACAATGTTGGGAATTATGTGCACCAAGTATATCATCAAGACTTGATGGAAAAACTGAAACATGTTTAGCGAATTGTGTTGAACGTTTTATTGATTCAAGTAATTATATTATTAATAAACTTGGTCAAGAAGGTGCTGCTGCAGCTGCATCAATGAAATCAAATGAATTTAGTTCATCAACAGATTTTTCATTGAATACACCTGATATGGGTTTTCAAACATCGGAGTTTTCAACCGATTATAGTTCATCAACAAATCAACAAGAGAAAAAGAGTAGTTGGAAATTTTGGTAGACAGTTTGTTTGTTTTTCTTTCTCTTATTGTTTTTCTCATGTTTTTCTTCCTTAGTATTGGTTTTTTTTTCTTATTCTATTTGATTCAGCTTCTAGATTTTGTTCTTTTCAGATTATAAAAAATATATATATATATATTTGAACAAAACAAAAAATGGTCGAATCAATAATTGGTATTCGTGGTAAAGATTTTATTTTATTAGCTCAAGATGCTAATACAACAAAATATGGTATTCTTAATATGAAATTTGATACAAATCGATTATTTAAATTAAGTGAACATTGTGCTATGCTTGCTGGTAAGACTTCGATCATTAAATAAAAATAATGTATTATAGTCATTGATTTTTTTTGCGATAGCCTAAATCTAACGGATGTAATTCACAAGAAATTAGTTCTTATTTTAATTCTGCATACTTTCTGTAGTTAGATGTTTAGAATTCTCTTATAATTCAATTAAAAGAATATGAAATGATCTATATACAAATGCAACGTGAGTTGTAAGACTTATTTACTCTCGAGAAAGTTTCTGAGATATAACCTATTTCGAGTTGTTTTTCATAGATTAAGCCTTGCATAGACATACTTTCCTCTTATTATAATAATTAGAAGTAGTTCAAAATTTGAAGAATTAAAAAATTGTATACATAAGAAGATTATTATCATATGATTAATTATGAAATCATTTATATTGATTCGAACTATTAACTTTCTATTGAATTGTCTTTTGAGAGTTCCATTATAGATCACATGAGTTGAAATAGGACTTCTATTGAGAAAGGATAAAATCAAGTTTTCACAGTTTTGAATTTATATAAAAAGAATTTGATATTTTATATCAATCTAATTAGTCAACATGTAGCTATCAATTATTTACTAGAGAACCATTCGAACTGATATCTTTTGTTTGAATTCATATTGTATCTATGAGGGAGTTATACGTGCCTACAAAAAAGAACAGAATTTCGCCTCTAGATAGGTCTAATAATTTATAGAGTATCCTGCAACTGTCAGTTGAAAAGAATGCTTTTTCTTTCTTTGGAAACAGTGAATTTTCAAATGAACTCAATTTTCGTATCACGCTTGTGGCAAACATTGTCTTTGTTTTTCAATATTTCAATAAACGAACATTCGTTTTAGTTGAAACTTTCACGATATTCTACTAATCATTCAATCTAAGTAAAAATTTTTCGCTTTCTAAATTTTTGATATCTGAGCATGAATATTCGTTGATTTCTTGATTATTTTCTATGAAGTATATTTTTTTTTTGTTCTAGCTGGTGAGCCAGGCGATGTAGTTCAATTTGCAGAATATGTTGGTAAAAATATTCAATTATATAAAATGATCAATGGTATTGAATTATCTCCATATGCATGTGCTAATTTTACTCGTCATGAAATGGCAACATCACTTCGTTCACGAAATTCATTTTTAGCTAATCTTATTATTGGAGGTTATTCAACAAATGAACGTGATCAACAACGTGTACAATTGTATTCAATCGATTATTTAGGCGCCATGGTTTCAGCTAATGTTGTTGCTCATGGTTTTTGTCAATTTTTTGCTTTGGGTATTGGTGATCGTTTATGGAAAGAAGACTTAACTGTTGAAGAAGGATTAGCTATGTTACAAATTATGGTTAATGAACTTGGTAAACGTATGGCTGCTTATCCGCATTGTGTATTCGTACGAATGATTGATGCGAAAGGTATACATGTACTTGATAATATGTATCCAGAAAAAATTCTTGTTTCAAAACCAACTGAAGGTGAATTACAAACAACTGCCGATATGATGGATATTCATAGTTAGTTCATTTTTTTTCTGAATACAAACTTAATAAAACTATAACATCAAACTTTTTTTAAACTAGACTTCATGCTTTATTTCTTTTTTCTTTTTTTTTGTTATTATTGCTGCTTATGTCATCAAGATTTTATTAAATGTCGAATGGACATTAAATAATGGAGAAGATACTTGAATATTTTTGTTTTTCTTGAAATATCTAGATTTATGCCTAATCAACTAATGATGATAAATCTAAGATTTAGAAAGCTTTAAACTTTTATGAATTTCACAATTACAAGAAAGTTACTGTGTTGTATCTTTTGTCAGAGAATTTAAAATACTTCTATTAATAGAACGAAATGTACAAGTAATATTTTATTGAAAATGAAAATAATGTTGGTAAAAAGAAAATTAAATAGATTTATTTTTGTTTATGCTTGTATTTTATTGATGAGGCTCTGGAGCGCGAAGAAAGATGGTCAACTACGAAAACGAAAAAGAAAGATATGAGAGATCAATAGGTAAAAAAAAAACATGAATACAAAATGTTAATCATACCTTGATCAAAAATAGACAAAGAACTGAGTTTCCATCTAAATGTTATACAAAGACAAGACAAACAATGGTCGGCAAAACGAGTTAAAAAAGAAGATGAGTGTTTGAACTATAAGTTGTTATTATCATTAATTTTTCAGCAAAGTCTAACTATATTCTTAATAAAAATTTATGTTTCTTGAATGTAATATATTTTAAATCTTTTTCTGATATATTCTTCAATATAATACTTTGGATCTTAAAATAGTTAAATAATAGAGAAATTTATAATATTGACCAGTCTTTCAAATGATGATAATATTATACGAAAAGAATTGTTCTTAGAAGAAGAATAAAATAAAATTATATGTTAATCATTTCGATCGTCAAATCTGAATTGAATGTAATCTTACTGCTATTGAATTATGTTTACCGACTTATACGTTTTTGTTTGTGAAAACTGTATAAACTTGAAGCAAGATCCAATTTATGCTAACTATTGAATATCTCAGAAATAACCTACCAAAGAAAGAATGGAATATTTGTACTGTATTTTGACTCAATGAGTTACTGTTTTTTTTATTAATTATAGAAGCGAGTTTCAAAGTTTTACTCGTGAGTAAAAAATCTGTTAGTGCGATTCTTGTGAGATTAAAATTCTATATACTTCAACATTCCTTTTAGATTGTGTTTGATAAAAGTAACGGAGGGAAATTACTTAGGGTTATCCAAAAGTAGTGAGCCAGGTACTTTTTTTTCTTATAGAAAGCTTTCAAAAATTTTCTTTTTT